ATCGTTTCCATTTCGTGATGACTGGCTAATCAAGATCTGGGCCACTCCACAGCTGTTTGGATTGCCAAACTCCTGAGTAAATCAAGGTGAAAGCCAAGTCCTGGAGTCCAGGACTTGGCTGCCCAAGTCCTGGACAGCCAGGACTTGGAACCTAAGTGCCCAGGCCTGAAAACACAGATTTAAAGGTCATGGCCAGTGGTGAGTACCGAGCACCACCTGGGGCAAGCACATGCTGCAGCCAGATGACCACGGGAGCCTGGCGCAGACAATGACAACTCAAGTCAAACTTCAACTGGCCGCAGGCTTTTGCTAAGCTTAGCACTTCATGTTGCTCAAAAGCCAAAGTGCTTGTTTTCCAACCCGAAGCACAAAACAGCAAGACATGGAAATAAAACCATTGGATCTGAGCAACTGACTGCAGGGCTATTTGCGCTGGACCGGCCTGGGCGCACAAGACCATGAATGTCAGCAATCACTTGCATGCATTCTTTGGCTCTACATTCGTGAAGGAGAGCACACACAAAAATGAGCACAGCAATATTGACAGAGCGGCTCCCTGTTTTCCTTCCTGGTGTCGGCTCATCAGGACAAACCGTCGGAGCCACATGGCGGGCCTTCCAGCCACAATTCCAGAGTGTTACTTGCTGGAACAATGTAGCACACAGAAGTTTGACGCGAGTCATGGTGCAGCGCAGGGTGCACTGTGCAAGGGTGGCTGGAATTGCCCAACCTGGTCTGGCCCAGGTTTCGTTGAATTATTGGCCTTAGCCTGGGCCACATGGCGGGCCTTCCAGCCACTTACAGACAGAGTTTCTTGCTGCAACAATGTGACACGCAAAAGTTTAATGCCAGTCATGGTGCAGGTCAGTGCTGTCATTTTCATTCAAGGGTGGCTGGAATAGCCGCAACCTGGTCATTGACATGACCTGGCCAGAACCCTCAAAAAACACAGGCTGACACACTTGGTTGCTTATTTGGTTTTTGATTTGTTTGGGCGGGGTGTGCTGCAGCACACTGGGATTCTCAGCCCTGAAAGAGGGAGACCAGGTCATGTCCTGTGCTCAGAGCCCCTGACAACCACCATCACCGCCTTCAGGAAGTGGTCGAACTGCTTGTCCACATACAGGGCCTCCTTGCCCTTGCTTATGTTCATGTGGCCAAGAGCGGCCAGGAGCGCGCAGCATAGCGCCTTTGTTGTTGCAGAATCAATTGGGCCCTCAACGCATGTTTCATTTACGCGCACCAAAGAAAAGCACACTGGGCATTCATCATAACCAAAACGCTGATGGGTTGGGCCCTGGCTGCTGGGGATCTGTGGACCCCGCCGTTGCAGTGGATGAACACCAGCCTGGACTTCTGCACCTTGTCCAACACGTCCTGCCACCTTGGCATTTGACCAGGGCTTGTGGAAGTGGTAAGTCCATTCAACTCCCGTGTTTGTTCACGGGCCTAGCAAAAAGGTTACTCACAGCCAAGGCAAGCTTCAGCGATGTCTTGAATTGCGTGTGGCAAAGAATCCAGTTGGGGTTCGCAGTGACCACTTGAAGATGCTGGGGCCTGGTCTTGAGCAGGGCATTGGCTTGCCTTGGTCGAGGAAAACAAAGCAAAGTAGTAGGCCCCTACAACTTCACACTTGCTATAAGGCAAAATCAACAGAAAGTGTTGCAATCTGTGAGGCCCCAGGAACTTCTGACCCTGGCAGTTCACCACCAAGCCTGGGAAGTCCCGGAGTACCGTGTACGCGCTCGGGGCTCCGCCGACAAACGCTGCCCTTCCTTCAAAGAACAGTGGCCGCAAGTTGCGGACGCCCGTCTCCACGAGGCGTGAGTACCACTCCCATGCCTCTCCTTCTTCGTCCACCACCTGGACCTCCTCAACTTTCTCCTCATCCTTCTGCTCGTCGTCCTCCACCAACTTCTCCTTCACATTGCGCCACTCCCACTCCTCCTCGGCCTCCTCCTGAGGCTCTGCCGCCCATTTGCCCTCATCCACGGCCTGGTCCGCCTCGTCATAGTCCTCCGCCCGCTCGTCATAGGGCTCCTCATACTCTTCCTCCACGGCCACTTCGGATTCGGCGGCCTCGGACTCGTCGTGCTGCTCGTCGTCAGGAGCCTGATCATCTTCATCATAATAGTGCTCCTCCAGCTCTTCCTTCTTAAGCGCTCGGGCCAACGTCGGGCTGGCACGTGTTGAGGCTGATCTGGCTGGAGAATTGGCTGGGGATGATCCCCTGGCTGAGGATGGCCTGGCTGAGGATGGCCTGGCTACTAAGGGTCGTGGCGCAATGCCTTCCGACGCCCCTTCAGTCTTAGCCTTGTGCAGCTGCACGCGCTTGGCATCCTGCAGCACAGCAAGAAGGCAATACATTTTGCATTACTTTCAGGCCGCGACACAATGGCATTCTAAACTTGAGTTGGCGTCATTTCAAAAGGAATAATAATAGCATACTAAACAATGATGGCCAAGGCACACGCCTGAAGTCTGCCGGCGACTTCCGCTTGAAGCCCTTTGGCTTATCTCCAAAGCCGCCACCGAAGTTGCAGCCGCTGAAGGTACAGCCACTGAAGCTCATTGGTCTGACACCGAAGCCTGCGAAGCAGCCGGCGCAGTGACTCTGAAGCCCATGGGGCACACGCGGACCTGAAGTTTGAAATTTGGGTGCCTAAAGTGTGCGTGTGCTGGCAGTTGGTGTGTGTTTGGTGCCTGGCTGTTGGTGTGCAACTTGTCAGTTGAATGCACCATATTGTATCAATGGCCACCGCCCCCTTGGCTGCAGGTGTGAGAGCCACATGCGCCAAGTAGTGAAGGAGCACACAGCAGGAGAAATGTCTGACAAGAGGTGATTGTGGCACATGTCACTTCAAACTCTGGCTGGCTGAATAGCAATGAGGTTCAGGCCCACTGAGCATGAAGAGCGCCAACGCCAAGCCAGCGTCAGCTGCAGCCTGAGCGAGCACATGAATGCTGCAACTCGGAAAAATGAGTGCAGCAGAGCACAGTGCCCACTCTAACTGACTCCTTTGCAACTGCCTTGCCGAAAAGCTTGACGGAAGCATGGGCTTGACATGAGAAGCAGGCTGCCACAGAGATGAACAAGTATGTCTGCATGTGCAATAAAAGAGCCCTGACAGGAATGAGACCCTTCCAAAGAGAATTGCAGGCGGGCAGCAGAGTGAGAAACAAGAGCTGTGGACAGCAGACAGAACAAGGCAAAGACACTCGAAACGAAATCTGCCCAATGCCAAGCCAAAGAACGGCAGCCCAGACTGCGGGCAGCCAGCAAACACAAGCTGCAGCGAGAACCGCGCAATAATGGCTTGTTATTCTTTTCCAACCCCTCGCAAGTTGGCAGCAGCAACAAAGGCCAGCGGCCAGAATGCTATAATATTGTGAGTGTGCACAACATGATCTTCATGCAACTGCAAACATGATATTCATCCAGCTGCAGGTCCTGGGACGGCTTGCAAAGCTACAACTGCAAATCCAACAGATCGGCAAATGCAAAATGAAGGGATCAGGTATCATTTACTGCAATGGTGTGCCTGCAGACAAGAAAGGCCCCGGCATTCTGTGCAAGATGATGATGATGGCTCAGTGGATCATGGCACAACATTGCATGGGAAGAAAAAGAACTGTCACCATGACTTGATGCCTGCAACAAATGAGCTCAGTATTCCTGAGCAATCCTTAGCACTGGGTTGACGCTGGCTCAGTGCCTTTGGGCATCTTCGGTGGGTTTTTGATGAGCTTTGCCCAGGACAAGGCATGTTCAACACTTCCACAGTATATCAGTTTTTGTGTAATGTAGCCGTCATGCACCAACTATTCAAATTTTGAGTTAGTTTGTAATATGTACAAAGTTGGTTTCTATACAGATGATACATACATTACACATTTATACATAAAAACATAAATGTTTGTATCCAAAAACAGCTGAGTGCAGCAAAACAAACGCTATAAGTCATAAACATGTGTTCCATGCATTAAATCAAAGGTCAAAAGCAAAACACATATTTACTTTGATGCATTTTTCCTTTGCTTGAGATTTGTCCTTTTTCCCACAGAAAAAACACAAATAGCCAGACAAAAAACACAACTAGCCAGGCAGACCCTTCTAAGCTAAATCCAACCGCCCCAATCCTGAAAAGTCCTGACTGTCACGGTCAAAACACTGAACCCCAGAGCCAACTAACGCCCAATATAAATCCAAAAAGCCCGAAGTCGAGCGCCCCACAACCCAAACACCAAAAAGCACCTTCACCTCAGTATAAACCGTAAAACGTCTCGCATATATAAGGCGCGGAGAGAGAGAAAAAGATAGAGAAAGGAAGAGAAAGAGAGGGAGAGAGAGAGGGAGAGGGAGAGGGAGAGGGTCTGGTTTGGACCTGGATTGAGGGCCGCGTAGTGTTAGGATTCTGGCTGTTTAAGGCGGTTTGGGTTGTGGCTTTGTTTGAGAGTTCGAGGTCTTTCAGGGTTTTTGTTTAGAGCGTTTAGGGCTTCAGGATTCGGGTGTTTAGGGTTTACATGTATGTTCTGTATGATATTTGGGGCTTAGGCTTGATAGATCTAGGGGTTTCCGGGTTGGGGCGCAGTTTGTTTCACAGGTTTAGGAACTGACCTTTAGGAGGAAGGTTTAGGGTTTAGGGCTTTCAGGACAGGGTTGGAATTTTTGGGGATGAGGTTGGGGGCCTAGGCCTGGGGCTTGGGCTCAGGGTCTCTGAGCTTGAAGTTGAAAAGGTTTGTGGGCTTGAGTTTGGGGGATCCAGGGTTTAGGTTGAGATTTAGGTGTTTAGGTATTCATTTATAAGGGCCAGGCTTGGGTCTTCTGGGTTTGGGTTTAGGGCCCTCTCTCCCTACTCAGAGAGGAACACGCGGGAAAACCTGTATAAACAAAACAGGACATTGTCCGAAGCATTTCTGCTCCCATTCGGCAATTTGAGTTGCATGTTTGCTGGTGTGGCCACACAGCTGCAAAATAACCCATTGTAGGCTCCTGCCCCATGGAGACCTTCACACTGACCCTGGCCGGCCTCGATGGCCAGGAAATTCGCGTGAGCGTTTCGGACGCCGCCCTGGGCAGGGACTTGCTGCGGCGCGCGAGGGCCGAGCTGCCCCCGAAGCCAGGCGGCACTTTGTGCCTGACCTTCGGCGGCGCCCGGCTTGTGCCGGAGCAAACTTTGCAAGAGCAGGGCATCCAGACAGAGTCGCGCGGCACGTTCACTTACACTCCGACTTGCCTGCTGAAGGCATGGAATGTGCTGAACGCACATTGTGAGGAGGATGTTGAGCAGGCATTGGAAGGCATCACAAAGCTGATTTACACCGACACAGAACACACTGCCCAGTTGCATAGGACTTTGCCAGGCAGCCTGAGAAGCCTGACTTTCAGCCAGCAATTCAACGAGAGCTTGGAGGGCGCGAGTTTGCCAGGCAGCCTACAGAGCCTGACTTTCGGCGCTTGGTTCGGCCAAAGCTTGCAGGGGGTGACTTTGCCAGACTGCCTGCAGAGCCTGACTTTCGGTCAGCGTTTCAACCAAAGCTTACAGGGCGTGACTTTTCCAGGCAGCCTGCGAAGCCTGACTTTTGGGCAGGACTTTGACCAAAGCTTGCAGGGCGTAAGTTTGCCAAGCAGCCTGGAGAACTTGACGTTCGGCGCTTGGTTCAACCAAAGCCTGCAGGAAGTGACCCTGCCAGGCGGCTTGCGGAGCCTGACAGTTGGCGATCAATTCACCCAAAACTTAGAGGGAGTGAAATTCCCAGAAAGCCTGAACAGCCTGACTTTCGGCCAGCAATTCAACGAAAGCTTGCAGGGCGTGACTTTGCCACTCAACCTGCTGAGCTTAACTTTTGGCGCAGAGTACAACAAAAGCTTTGTGGGAGTGGCGCTCCCAGAGAACCTGCAGAGCCTGACTCTCGACCACGACTTCGACCAGAGCTTGGAGGGAGTGACTCTACCGAACAGCTTGCTCAGCCTTGCTTTCGGCGAGGAGTTCAACCAAAGCCTACAAGGCGTGACCTTGCCGGCCAGCCTGCAGAGCCTCACCCTTGGCGATGAGTACAACCGCGGCTTGCAAGGGGTGACTTTTCCAGAGTGCCTGCAAAGCCTGACTTTCGGCCGGCGTTTCAACAACAGCTTGCAGGGGGTGATTTTTCCAGGCAGGCTGCAAAGCCTCACTTTCGGCGATGGGTTTAACCAAATCTTGCAGGGAGTAGATTTGCCAGGTGGCTTGCAGAGCCTGGCTTTCGGCCGCGACTACAACCAAAGCTTACAGGGTGTGACTTGGCCAGATGGCTTGCAAAGCCTCACTCTTGGCGATGGGTGCAACCGAAGTGCGCGGGGAGTGCCTTTGCCGGATTGCTACAACAGCTTACACGGCACAACCTTGCCAGGCAGCTTACAGAGCCTGACTTTCGGCCCAAGCTTTGACCAATCCTTGGAGGGCGTGCCTCTTCCAGACTGCCTGCAGAGCCTTACTTTCGGCCGAAGGTACAACCAAAGCTTGCAGGGGGTTGCTTTGCCAGACAGCCTGCAGAGCTTGATTTTCTGTGAAGAGTCCACCCAAATCTCAGAGAGTTTGACTTTGCCAGGCAGGCTGCAGTTGACTCTGGGCATGCAGACCTGCACTTTGCAGGGAGTCACTTTGCCACAGAGCCTGCTAACCCTGACTTTCGCTGAAAGGTTCAACGGAAGATTGCAGGACGTAAATTTGCCAAGCAGCCTGGAGAACTTGACGTTCGGCGCTTGGTTCAACCAAAGCCTGCAGGGAGTGACTTTGCCAGTCAGCTTACAGAGCCTGACTTTTGGCCGGAGGTACAATCAAACCTTGCAGGGGGTCACTTTGCCAGGCAGCCTCCAGAAACTAACTTTTGGCCATGACTTCAATCAAGGCTTGCAGGGGGTGATTTTGCCCGACAGCCTACAGAGCCTGACTTTTGGCGGAAGGTACAACCGAAGCTTTGAGGGAGTGACATTGCCGGAGAACTTGGAGAGTTTGACCTTCGGCGAAGAGTTCGACCAAAGCTTGCAGGGCATCGATTTCGCAGGCCACCTCTGTAGATTGGAGGGTGGAGGGATCGCCTTACGCTGCGATTGAGAACGCTGGTGGCTGGTTGACTGGGTTGGGGCTTCAGCGAGTTACGTTGAGTTCGTGAACGCACAAGTGGCAACTGTTCACATCGGCATCTTCAGCGCAGACATATCTGCTAGGCAAGTCTTGTTTCACAGCCAACACCAAGCCAGACACAGGTCGAACGCGTAGTTTGAAAACGTGATTTGGGGCCGGGCTGGTGTATAGGACACATGTTTCGGCTGTGGATGAATTAGCGGCTGACCTTTTGAGTAGGAGACCAAGTTTTAGCCTGAGCATTTCAACGCTTTGGTTGCCGGATTCACTTCTCCATTTATTGGCTTTGCGGGGCGCACGCGCGTTTTGATTCTGCAGCCGTCAAAGTCCGTTGTCGCTTTTGGAAGACGAACAGCAATTTCCACAATGCGAGACTCGAGAGTAGTGTTGGGACGGCCCCATGCAGAGGCCTGCGCAACGCAGAAGAACACAACTCAACAATGGTGTTGTGTATGTCTTTCCGCTCACGCTGAGAACTTTGGCTGTCTGAAGGATAATGCGTGTTGGCAGTCAGCCGCTGGCCACACGTAGCCGGGAGTGGACGCTGAGGCAACAGTCCCTTCTTTTGAATTGGGCCCGTGTTGCTGATTGGCCAAGGGGAAAAACCTGTTTGGTAGGGTTGGGGCAAGCTTAGGATGGAATAACCTGGTCAGTGATGCAAAGCCTTTGGCTGTTTGGGCCGGACTGCCTGTTGCCTGAGGCAATTTGTTGACCTGCGCCGCTGCCTCTCGCCGCAAGCGGCGCAGCGTGATATTTGCACTCATGTGCTGGTCGGTTGCAGTGCAAAAGGGGCTGCCTATGCTGAATGTGGCTGGATCGTAGACGACGCGCAAAGGGACTTTGAGAATTTGCGGATTGGCCCCTAACAGCGTGTTGCGCAAGGGCAATTGGGTTTTGTCTTGGGTAACAAAGTTATTTTTATTTGGCTAGTGCGCTCCCTTTGAGTAAGGTCTGGAGCCTCTTTCTGAACCCATCATATTTTCCGCGGCCAGCCCTTCTTGGAGAGGTCCAGACAGATGGAGCTGGCGGCCACATTCGTTTTGCATTTTGTTTGTCTTCGGCAAAGGCTGGGTGAGGTTGCCCGTTGGTGTTCATGGCTTCGGTTCTTTTTTTTTTCGGCTCAGTCCTCGGCCTTTCGGCCGGTCGTTGCGCTTCATCGCTGCCCCGGGCTGCGGCCGATTCGGGCCGCCGATTCGGCCGATTCGGCCGGGCGCGTCATGACCGGCAGATGGCTGGGCCTCCCTTGCCGCGTCCGGCGCTTGGCTTGGCATCGCAGCCAAGCTGAACTGCCCAGCCATGTTTTCCTGTTTTTGGGTGAGATATTTTTGGGTAAGGTTTTGTCGTTAGCGTCAGTCAACAAGGGATGGCCGTTTCAAGGCATTATATTTGTATACTGGTAAAAGGTTAGGTACCTGTTTGCGCTTCTAGCTTCTGAGGAAGCCGGGAAGCCACTTGCCAGCTTTACAAGCCTTGCAAGCGAACATGCGCCCAGATGCTCGGTTTGCAAACCGCTTTCCTTTCTGTTTGGCGGGCTCCGCACTCCAGATAGTCGTAACGTTTCTATCAGGGCCGACGGGCTCGTATACCTGGCAACTGGCAAGATGAGTGCCTTTCATTTTCATGGGCTTGTTCCTTTCCAGAGTCCTGTATTTCCATGTCACGCTTCAGGTGCTTGCGCCTGTTTGACCTATCAGCCTAGCGGCATAATTTGTGATATGATGATTAGGGTAATTCCCTGACGTCGCATGGGATGTTGAATGGTGGGTTCCGTTTCTTCCGTTTGTTTGAGACCAGCTATGTTCATTGAGTCTTCATCTTTGTGTTCAGGGCGTTGGGAAGCAAAGCCGAACCATGGGTTTTCGATGGCTGAGACAAGGTTGCTCTATTCCCGTGCCTGGGTTCCGATGTCCCATGCAGCTGCGTGTCCATTCATGTGATCCCTTCTATGCTATGATGCAACTCTTGTGGGTTCAAACCATATGGTACCGTGCTAAACTGTTCAGCCCTGGCTGGGTAAGCTTCAGGCCACAAGCGGTACACAGCTTCTTGATCGCTTCCACAAATATCCAACCCACATGGTTTCTCAATGACACGTGTTCAGTGCCCAAACAAATAGTTCGGGTGCACACGTGTTGCTTGTTTCCTTATTATGCGAGAGCTAGACGAGTAGCGAGTAGAGGCTGAACGCGTGCTAAAAGCACGGGGCTAAACGAGTGCCAGGAGAAGGCCAATGAGCATTTGCCACGCGTATCCAATCTCTTGTGATGCTGCAACCGTTCAGCCGGCCCAGCCCACCACAGCTGAACCCATTGGGTCAAACCTTGAAGAACATGGTTTACCGTGTTACTTGCTGTTTGTGAGTTGCTTTGCCAAACCCCACGCCATATCAAATGTCATCCTTCTGAACCCTGACGACACAAAGCCGGCCTTTTGCTGTTTTTGTTTCAGATGGTTTCAAGAAACATCCAGGGAACTGACACTGCCTTGCTGAGTCAAGACCCTCTGGATGCAACGGCAGAGAGAGAGAGAGAGAGATCCACGGAATTGCGAGCCAATGGTTTCACTTTTGCCACGTTTATTTTTTTGCTTCTGAGTTTTATTGTTTTTTCCTATTTGTTTTGTTTGATTGTGTTTTGTTTATGTGATTCCTGTTTTGTTCTCAACAGCTGAAAGCTTTGGGGTCTCACCAAAAGGGTTCCGGGGTGGTCCGGGGCGCCAATGAGGTAAGGTTCCCCAAGGGTTCCACCAAGGTTCCACCAAGGTTCCACGAGGGTTCCACGAGGTTCTGCGAGGGCTGCGGGGTGGTGCGAGCACTAAAAAGCGTACCAAGCTGTTGGGGATATCACCTTAGCTTATTTATATGAATGTGTTTATTATTGGGGGGGGGAGGGGTACCCTTTTGTGTCTCTCAGGACGTGGTTGCCTACACCCGGGCGGTGGCTTCAGCCACATGGCTCCAGGCGGTGGTGCTATTGGCAGAGGCGGGAGCCCGAAACCTGCAGGCGGATCTCATCCTGCCGCTCACTTGTCCATGGCGAATCGATTTTTAGATATGTTGTTTTTCCCCTTTTGGTCATTTTTGTCAGGGCTCGAGGTGTATTTCCCCTTTGGTCACTTTAGGCTGAGGTTCCAAGAGGTGATCCAGGCCCAAAGGGGCAAGTGAGGCTGAGCGCAGTCGCCCGGCGGTGCGAGTTGGAGGACGGAGGCGAATTGATGCGATCGAGTTCGGGGGAAGGTTGGAGCTTGAAGAAATGGAAGCCAATTCTAGGGGAACGAGGAAACGATTTCTGAACTTTCAACAGGAGTGAGCGGTGGTCCAAATCGGTGCCTCATGTGCCCAACGATTGGGGTCCCGACTTGGATGGGAAAGAGAGCTAGGTGTAAAATGAACAAGCGGCCCGCGGATTTTAATGTTAACAAGCAGACCATGGAGGCCTTGAAAGGGATGCACGCGTCGATGTGGTCAAGAGGTTTGAGAGTTTGAAAGCCTACAGGCTGTGCTGCGACCACACCCTTGTGCTTGTTAACGCTAATTCCTCCCAACCCGAGAAAACACATTGAGAGCAACCAGGGAAGCATGATTTCCTGCCCAGTGGGAGTGTAATTAATATAGCCGGCTTACGGACAGGTTCTACATGAAAGCGGCATTCCTAAGTGCGAATAGTGCGTACTCGTGTTTTTCCTCAATTGAACCGTGCCATACTGGGTTTCCACTTGGGGCTGCTTAGAGGCGAATTTTTTGAGGAGCACTCCTTTCTCGTTGCGCTGTTCAGGACAGCGCCTGGCGTATCGTGCAGCAACTCCTCCAGAAGATGCTGCACATGGACGCCTTTGCTGTGTCCTTGGCGGTGAATTCGTGCAGGAAGGCGGGAGTTAGAGGTTCAGAGCATATCCTCCCTGCCGGAGTTCATGAACTTGAAGCTTTTTGAAACGACACCATTTCAGAAGCAAACAACAGGTTTGCTTGGAGTATGTGGCTGACGTGGGAGTCTGCCCGTCTGCCCCAAGTCCCCTTGAGGCACTCGCCTGGCAGTCGGCTGCGAATTTGCTTCAAGACCGCCAAACTCCCGCGAGTTCCATGGCCCGCAAGGCCGCGAAATTGGCGAGCATTGAACCCTCGATGTTATGGCCATATCGAATCTATCCATTTGCTTTTGAATATTGTGTGGTTTCCCATGTTGGCTTCAAAGGGAATCGATTTCACCACTGGACATGTCTTATGATTCTTTCCAGGGGCAAAAAAGCAAATGGAACAGTCTGATTTTAGAGACTGAGCGGTTTGGACTCCTAGCACTTTTCACGATGGATTTCGGACCCCCTTCTGGTTGAAAGGGACGCCGACAGTTATTGGGGGACCACTATTTAGGGAATCTCCAAGCGTTGGGGTGGTTTGGGGCAGATTTTCTCTAGAAAGCGGTGTGGATGTGGTTTTTGTGCATCCACGCCCGTGGAATATTAAAATAGCACCATCAAGGATATCTACAAAAGACAAACAGGTGGAAGAAACATTGGTGAAATCCACGATCAAAGCGCATCCAAGCCGTTTTCGAGAGTGCCTGGCTGTTTTGATGGTACCCCGTATGGTTGAAAAGGGAAGGTAGGGGAACTCACCCTTTTGGGACACCTCACACATGAGAAGCCTCAGTTTGCAGTAGCCAAACCCTTCAAGACCCACCGCTCCAGGCGGCGCTCCTGGCCTTGCCGCAATCCGCCTGGCGCGCGATGCGTTTGCCGGAAGAAGAGGACGACATCGAGGCAGGGCGGCGAACTTCGCGTCGCGAGGGGCTGGTGACTGGATGCAACCGGTGAGGCTTGTGATCCATAGCTGTCCTTTGGATGGGTTAGCTTGGTAGAAAATAGATGGGTTCCACTGGTTGAGATGGGGTTTATTCATGTTTATTCCATTTACCATCGCCATCTATTCGTCCGAAAGGCCGCCTATGTTGAGATCCATTCCGGGATCTCCGCCGCAACTATTTGATTTACATGTTAGGCAGAAACACTTGAAACTTATACTTTCTCACTCCGTGAGGTCATGAGCTTTCAACTTTTTGGGAAGACCATTTTAGTGGCAACATGCTAGTTGTCGAACAATTTGGTTTGGGGCCAGCCACTCGATCGGAAGTGAGTCTGCTCTGTGCCCCGGAGTTTGGGACCTGAACTTTCATTTGCTTTACTTGTTGGTTTCAAAGGGGAACGATTTCACTACTGAACACAATTTATCCCATTTTTTCCAGGGGAAAACACAATTTGGAAGTAAACCCAACAAGTCGCCCAGGTGCAGAACACGGCCTTGAAACTCCTGGTCGGAGATGTTCAGTGGCGCCTGGCGCAGGCGGCTGACGGGCCCACCAAAAAAGGGGTACCGCCAACAAAAGAGGGCACCCGGGATGATTTTCAAGGTGAAACCAGCTTTTCGGGAGTGCCTCTTTGAGACATGCTCTGATTTACTGTCATGTCCCTGCCCAGTGGCACCCTTTGTCCTTTTTATTGGGAAGGGGTTGCGTTCAAAATCAAGCGTGGCGCAGGTGATGCTTGTTGTTATGCGGTTTTGTCTTTGCTAGTTTTGGGAGAGACTCATTTCAGTTAAGTAAAGCGACTTGGGTTCACCCGTCAAGAGTCAGCAAGTACTTTAAAAGCGGCCTTATAAGAGGAGGTGTCCTTTCCTCAATTTTAGGTTCTAATCTTATGACCGGCCAGGCTCAGACAGGAGGGGTTTCAGCAGAACAACAAACAACTCAAACAACAACTCAAAGTCAACTCAGCCAAAACAACTGAAAACACAGACTAAAAAAAACAAAGAATACACAGACACACAACACAAGGGACGACTCAAAAAAGACAAACAACCCAGCATTGAACTCGATCCCCCCGCTTGAGTTTGAGGCTGAGTCGGAAGCTGAGTTTGTTTTGAGTTTTGTCTAAGTTGTTTTTGTTTGTTTGAGTTGTTTTGTTGTTTTCGTTTGTGTTTTCTTGGGAAAGCTGCAGATTTCTTCCCCAACCAACCCCCTCACAAAAAAACTCAAGCATACTCAGAACAAACTCAAATACTTAGCTCCAAACTCAGTGCCAGACTCAGCCTCAAACTCAAGTGGGGGGATCGAGATCAAAAGTGGGAGTTTTCCAGGTTGAAGTTATTTTAGTCTTGTTTCAGTTTTGCAACTTCCTGGATTGCGGCCTCTTTGGGCGAGATCAGGTCATAATTCCAATCCCCCTTGTTGCAGAGAAGCGAAACGTGGACTGGCAGCAAAACGAGAGAACACCCATGCTGTAGTTAGCTGGGGATTTCTCAATTCTGATTGGTAAGTTGTAGAATTGAAGAATTGCATCGACATGAATCCTGTGTAGCTCATCGTCTTCCCTGTGCAAAGGTACAGTTGGATCCCTCACCAGGGTACTCGCAACATGTTTGTGCCGTTCTTTTCACAATCCTTTCAAAGGGTCAACTTTGGGTCAGGGTTTTAGAACACGAAGCAGGGAAGCCGCCCTAAAAAGGCAGGGCCATGTTCGTAAGGGGTCCGTGGCCCAAAGCCGGACGCCAGGCACACTTCCAGCAACTTTTGACAAAGCGCGTGCAGCCCCTCCGGCAAACCGGGGAGTGGGGAGGGCGGATGAGAAATGGCGCTGGATCCGTCGAAGGAGTCCATAGCTTCCGACTGGGATCCTAGTTCCACTCGTCTGGGGTACGCCTCATTTGTGTGGTTGCCGGCTTGAGTTTCTCTTCCTCAGACTAGCGTCACAAGGCCCGCCTATCACAAGGCCCCAGAAATCTGAAAGAAGTAAACAAACGGGTGCCTAGATGTGGTTGTCTGAACGTGTCCTTGTGCACCAAAATTTCAGCTTCATGAGAAAACGCTCGCAAAGCAACACATAGGCACATAAAGGGATTGGAGGTTCAATTCTGAAAAGCTCTGCACTTTCGGGGTGCAAGAGTTGCTGCTACGTGATAACCCTTCATATGCCCATGCATGGGTTCGTGCCCCTGATCAATTCAGCTTTTACAGCACAAACGAGTGGACATTACCCTCTTCACCCCGGGTCCCTGGAGCTTAAGCAGTGAGAACCTGTCGCTAGGTTGAAGGTATAAGCCCGCCATGGATCAAGGCAATGTTGTATACAACAAATAGGCCGACTTGCTTGAGCCTATACCATTGAATATTGGTTTAGGGGTAGTGGGAGCTCTCTGAGAATGTGATCACGGGTGATTGCTAAGCAGCCAAAGTAGCCCAAATTGGCAAATTGGTCCACATCTGGGCCCATACAGCTTTTGTTGGTCCGCGCAGGTTATACTTGAGCCTGGGGTGGTTGCTCAAACGAAGCAAGCAAAAGCCCTGACCAACCTTTGGCTCGGATGGGTATTTTGTTGATTTGCTCTTTGGTGGACATCACCCAATCATGCTTGAGTCATTGAAAGCCAGCTTCACAACAGAAAAGCTAACAAAATGCGAAAGAACCCACATAAGAAAGACACATCAACATACAGCAAGAACACAAGACCATTGATTTATCCGAAACCCGGCACAACCTTTAGCAATCCAGGCGGGCAAAACATGCACCGCACGCCACTACTGCCGAGGGTAACCTGCTTTATATGATCCCCTTCTGAACGAAAGGACTGGCCAAGTGGTGAGCAATCGCCCCCGGCAACCCCAAATTTGCTGTGACCATGTCCAGACCGCGATTTGGAGCGAGGATCAGCCGCGTCACCAGCAACAGCCTCATCAGCTATGGCTCTTGGCAACGAGGCCGCGCAGGGGTGAAATGAGGGCCATTTCATTTGTCAACCTTCCCACTAATTAACACGCTACCTGACAGGGGCTGGGTCCATTTAAAAGGAGAATGGTCTTCCACGACCCCAAAACGCGAGGTTCCATCTTGATTGGTGGGAGGGTACTACTTAGCTGCCTCTTGTATGACGCCAACCCTTGGTTAAAAAAGGGAACTTGGGGGAAGTCCCGGAAAATCTACCAGTACATGTTTGCCGATTGTTTTCCAACACCCCTCAAAATTCGGAAGCAAGCGCTGCTTCGCATCATGTTTCTCAAGTTGTTCGAGGCCCTGTCCCTTTTGGCGCAGGCCGCGTTTGCAACGATGCTTGCTCATGTGCCACTCCAGGAAAGACTTTGCTGAAGCCTGGGATGCAGCCTTGCCATTAATGCATTCCTAACATTTGTTATATAAATGTACATATTCACAGCGCATAAGAACCTAGCAAGGGTACATAGGAAGACACAACCAGCAGGGCGGTACCTACTTCCTGATTCTCTGAGTTTCTGAGACTTTCCGTCCTGTTTGACAAGACCCTTTGAGCCGCAAAAATGAGGTTCTGGAACTTATTTGGCCAATCCACTCCAGTGAGCTGAGGTGTGTGGCATGGCGCCATTTGAAGACTGAGCTTTGGCCTTGCGCCACGGGTCAATGCGGTGCATTGCCATGTCCCGTGGACCCGTGGCGCACGGCCATGGTAGGTACCCAACTACCCAACTGCCCCTCGCAGTCGGGAAACCATGGCCTTTTTGTTGGGTCCAGAGTTACCCCAAAGGATTCAATCTGAGTGCTCCGCGGAACGGCAATTGTTGCAGTGCTGATCTCTTAGACTGATTTGCTGTTGATGTGAAGGTAGTACTTGCATTTGCGGAGAACCTGGGGATTTCAAGACTGACCACGTTGCCGGCGTTTGGCAAACGTGCCCCCCATATCAGTTGACAGCCAAGCAATTGCATGGACGAACCCGTTTGGGCCGTGCAAGCGTTGGGATGTCCTTACACCAAAGAATACGACTCAAAAAGACAAGGGGATAGATGTGGAACTGGGGGCCGTTCGCAAATAGTCATGGCCAGAACACCTCTCCTATCGTGTTTTCAGCGGAGTTCAGAGCCCTCAACTGATGAAGCCCGGAGACTCCAGCTTGGAATCGATGCCCTTGCGGGGGATGGTTGAGATCCCTTTGCGCTGTCAACTTGTCAAAGTCAAACTTTTTATGGGTCACACTTGCCCTTGCCTTGCCTTGAAAAAGCAGCCTGTACACTTCCACAATCGTTGGAGTGAGGGCAACCCGAAGTTGGTGTCATGTAATCCCTGCTGAAGCGCAAGCATTTGAAAGCATTGGTGATGATGTTTAGTTTCCCCCGTATGCTTAGTTTGGTGTGTTTCATCTAGAGGAAAGGGGCGGTCCTTTTGGTTCAAATTTTGGGGATCGAACGCAGTCCCACCCAGAGGGTCTCTTGTACACTTTTGAGAGTTGTTTCAGGGATCAAAGTTCCCTTTGGTACCTCCTTAGCTCACTCCATGAGGCGTGGGCTTAATACCTTTTCGGGTTTGGACCATAGCGGCAAACAACAAGTCCCCTGCTTCTGGCCAATCCACTGCAGTGAGTGAGGCAAACAGGCAATCGGGCCAGGCCACGCGTGGGTGGCGCGCTTCGGCTGCGACAGGGTGGGCCTCAACGCGGCGCTGCATCTCGCGCCGTGGCGCCAAAGTCTGGCGCTGCACCACGCCTTGGGCGAGGGAGGTTTCGACGCGGCGGGGCAGGGGGCGGTGGCCAAGGCCTGTGAGGAGGCCCCGGGGCGGTGGGGCGCAGGGGGGGAATGGTTGGGGGCGGGGTGAACAGCAACCAAGCAAAAAAAGCCTATAGAAATCCGGCATGCCTGGATTTTCGACATGCTCGCAACTCCATGTCAGCGTGAAGTTCAGCTGCAACCAAACAGTCCTCTCAGGAGCAAGCCTCCACCTATACCATGCCCTTGACCAGAAGCCATCCCTGTCTCAAGTACCCCTTCCGGCTCATTCCCCCAAACCCCCCAGAGAAAGTCCCTGCTCAGAACCAGCAAGCGTGGGGACCTGTCACAGATCTTAAAGCCCCCCGTTTCACCACCCTGAACAGCCTGAAGCACGAAAACCACCGAACCCTGAAGCCCTAAAACCGGCAGACCTCAAAATCTAAAAAGAAAGCCCCAAAGCCAGAAAACCCTGAAGCCTAAAACCTTAAACCCTGAAAGCAATTCCCCTTAAACCCTATAACCAGACAACCCCAAAGCCACAAACACCGTAAAGCCTTCAAAAACCTAAAACCTACGGCCAACAAATCCTAAAGCCCTTAAACCCCGAAACCCTAAGACCCATGACCCTTAATCCATAAAACCCCCGAAACCCTCAACACCTCAAATCCCTCAAAGCCCCCACAACCCCCAAAACCCCTAAAACCCCTAAAACCCCTAGAACCACTAAAACTTAAAACCCCCAACCGCAACAACCCATGAACATCCCTCAAAACCTTCGCTCACGCCTTCCCAGGGCGCCGCCTGGGCGGCGGCGCTGCGGCTGCCGCCCTTCCGCAGCTCCGCGGCGCGGAGCTGCGCCGCGGGCGCCTGCGCGCGCGCGGGGCGGGTGCTGCACGCGGAGGCGCTGCTGGAGGCGCGACGAGAGGAGGCGACGCGGGCTTGGGCTGCCTCCTTATCTAGGTTCGCCAGCTGGGTGCCCTCTCAACCGGCCATGGCTCAAACATGTGGCGATCTGGCAGGATCCTTACATGGTAGACCATTTTCTTTTAAATTACCACTAGGTCCCCCAGCTGGGTGCCCTTCGCTCCCCGTTCTTTTTTGGGGAGGGTTCCCCTACTAAAATAGACCACAGAAAAAAGTCGGGAACCCTTATTCTAACCTCTCCACTGGAGGACCTAGTTATAATGGTGACCCAGGATTAAATGCGGAGTGTTCCCTCCAAAAGTGGTCTGAATCCCCACTAAAAGGGGACACCACCCTATTAATCAACCAGGGGGGGTTCGCGGCGTGGGCGCCGCGTAAGCCAGTAAAAAAGGATAAGGGCTCGCACAATTTTAAAACAATAAGAACACTGCTCAGGTGGGGGTTGGGCTGCTTCCTCGTGTTTCATGTTCCAAAACTTTGGTGGTTCCCAGCCATCCCGCCCCCCCTTGCTTTTTGTGTGCTTAGTGGGGGTTTCGATTTAACCCACCAAAAGTTAAACTTTGAGAGAGGGATCTGAGGACAGCCCAGAAACCCAAAAGTGATTTTAGGTTTTTCCCCTGGGGTTTGTGCCATATTTGGTTAAGGACATCGATCGTAGTTGTTTACGGTTTTGCTTCAGGGGGTGATCCATTGTTTTTTGCAGGGTTCTAGTATTTGTGCTGATGCTCCCCTTGTTGGTTGCTCCCGTGTACTTGTTTCCTTTTGTTCCCCTATTGGTTGCTCCTCCTATTCTTTGATGTTTTGTTTAAGTTCCCCTTTTGGTTTTAAAGGGAATCTACCACTACTGGAAATATTAACGACATATTGTTCATTTTGTCAGGAGGTTAGATTTAGGGGGCAGGGTTTGGGAGTCGGTTGGAGGGCTTTGGGCGGAGTTCGTGGCTCCGGGTGTGACCGAATCACCCCCACAAGCCCCCCCAAGAAACAAACCCGGTATCAGCTCAAAACCAAGCATTCAAGTCGATGTTATCCTGTGGATTTATCAGCTGGATGTTTTCCCGGCTCGTCCCAAACCAGGCGTTTGGATTGGGTTTTGGATGCCCCCCTAATCTCCCATTTGGGCTTATGTTCAATGTTTTCATTTGAAAAGCACATGACGAGTGACTTTACTGTGCATGTCTAAGAGCTGGTATTCGTTTAGCGTGTTTTTTTTCTTCTTCTTTTTGCGGGGGATGCTGGGATCCCCTTTTGCCTATCATTTCTGGAAGCACCCAAAACAAGATGCGTTAACTTGGTACCAAAGTATCCAAGCTTATGCCTCAAAGTCGCTTCAGATGTGTTTGCTTGTTTTACTGAAAAGGTGTTTGTTTGTGGCGCCTCAAGCAAAATGGAACCACAACATGTTGCAAGAGCAATGGAAGGGGAACAGAGGGGGTTGATGGCCAACCCACTCAGGAGGCAGGCTGTATTTCCACAGAAACATTTGGTTGCATTGGTGACCTGATCATTTGGAATCTCAAAACTCGCATCGCCCACAGTGACGGTTCTTGTCATGAGGTTCCGCACTTTGAATTTGTGTTTCGCAGAACTTGGCAGCTACTCAGTGATCGACAAACCATCAACCCTCAGACTTAGATTGCTTCAGCATCCATGTTATTATGGGAGTATGTGATTTTGCCCTGTCGCTAAACTCAGAGATTGGCAGAAGCACTCCCCTGCAAATGAACACGTAACCCAAAAAACAGGTCCCCAAAAGGAGACCTCCAAAAACGATGGCGAGTTGGGTGCCATTTGCGTTCGAGTTTCTCGTCACCCGGGCCTAGGCAGAGCCGGCTTCGTGCGACACGGGGCAGCTTGGCTGAGCTTAAGCACAGAAATTGTGTTCCTTTTGTTTCTTTTTTTGTTTTTGGGGTGAGGACTCTTGCTTGCGAGTACTATTATTTTGGGTGAGTCCTTCTAACATGCATCAACACTTCATTGAAGCTTTCTCGAAACCTCACCGAAGCTTCAGCAGACATCATCGAAGTGTATCAAGCTTCATCAAAGCATGTCAAAGTTCAACATCAGTCCAAGTACTCATGTCAATTTGGCCCTCGAGACTTGCGCGCTTTCTGGGTACTACTTCTTGAGGTTTATCTAGTTTTCAGAATTTCTTTTGCATGTCTCAACTTTGTGGAAGGCCTTTAAAGAGACCACAAGGCTCATCCAAACTGTCAGCTTCGGACAGGTGTAATTTAGTTCGTGCTATTTGTGGGGGGGCCAGCCCAAACAAGCAATGTGGGCATGTCTCAAACTGGCGGAGCCTCAAGAAAGAACAGGGCCATTCCGCCAAGTCGGAACACGAAACCTTTGAGCCATCCCTCATAAGAACTATCCACTTTGGTGTTTCTCAAGAGCCGAGGGTTGTAGACAGGGTCAAACCCGGCGCGACCGTTCGGGTGTGAGAGCCTTCAGACTGGAGCCCGCTTTTGACGTGGGAGAAAAGCAGCACCCTGACCATCGGTCCCAAGTGAAAGGCAGAAGGCGTGGCTTCCTTGGGAAACGGTCTGGGTTAGCGACGGTTTGTCAGTGGAGAAAAGCAGAATCCCCATGAAACAAAGCTTCATGACAGGGCTGAGGTTTCAACCCAGAACCTTTGTGAGTTAGGTTTTCCTCTTGAGCAACTTTCAGGTTTGGAGGGTACCATTTCTGGAGTTGGTTCAAAGGGAAGCCAAAGGAAACCGACCCATGTCGGGGGGGGACAAGCCTGCCAGAACTTGTTGCTGCAAACTATCCTTAAATTTTGATTTTGCTGGGCTCAATCTGAGCTGATCCGGAGTGGAGACTCCTACCTATTCCTGTATTGCTATTGGGTTCGATCTGTAGGCTGCATTTGGGAATCAAGGGCTTGCATTGAATCCACAGGTCAAACTTTGTGCAGAGGGGTCCATTATTTTTCATTTTGACACAAACCCACTGGAAAAACCTTAGTGGGAAACAACCAGTTCGGACTTTCTTTCGGCTTTCGGCCCTCAGGAAGGGATCCCAAGTTTTCAGAGGGACATCCGCTCAGCTTTTGCTGCCTCGTGTTTTCATCACCCCCATATCCCCGCGAGCTGCGGCTCAACCTTTTAGGCTCCCTTGTTCCAGGCTTGGGGTTTCCCAAAGTCGCGGTCCTTTGAGGTGAGACTCTCTTTGGCTTTTCAACATTGGCGCCTTTGTTGGTGGTTCTTGTTATTCCCATCTAAGGATAACCCCATCACAGCCTGGGATTTCGCCTGGGGAATCACCCTACTCTGATATTCCAGATAAAACCTCCTCTGTCTAGCCTTACTTCCAGGCGGGTGACTGTAGCTGAGGCTTTTCAACACCGTGATGAGTGGTTACCAGTGGCTCGGCCGTTGGCGCGACACGCTGCGATTGCTGCGGCGCCTTCTGCAGTGCCAGCTCGAGGCGAAGCGAAGCAAAGCGAAGATCCGGTGGCTTTGATGCTCTTGAGGGGGGACCCCAAGATTCTTGTAGACTCCAGTTTTGGAGGTGCTGTTTTCTGAGTTTTGGCAAGGTAGAGTTTCCGCTTGTTTCCCTTTAAGGCGCTGGGTGAAGCATATGGCCTCCCCTATTCCGTTTGTCGCGGTGTCTGGCGCCAGGCGCAGGTCGTGAGCTTCAACGTGGTGATCGGCGCCTGCGGGGAGGCCTGGCGCAAGGCGCAGCTGATGCTGGAGGCCGCGTTTTTGTTTTTTTGTTTTTTTCTGGGAGCGAGCCAAGACACGTCAGGCCCCAGGCAACTCTGCCAAACAACGGAGAGGAGCTGGTTCTCTGAAAGTGAGATCCTCAACATGACCTGAGTCGGAAAAATCCCAAAGAAACATGCGGCGGGAAGATAAACCAGGTCCCAACAGTCATCAGAACCAAGGCGCCTTGGTCTTCCAGGAGCCCGGAAAAAGCAGGCCTTTGAAATTTGGTTGATCCCCCTTTTCAACCAAGAGCAAAAGTCAAGCGGAGGAGCTCGCGGTGCGGCAGCTGCGTGCGAGCACGGTGAGCTTCAACTCCGCCATCGCTGCGGATGGCCGGCGGCTTGGCCTTCACGCGGGGGGCTGGGGTGGGTGGGGTGGGGTCCAAAGGCGCGACAAGCCCAAATGAAACGCGGAGAGAGGGTGTCAGAAATCCCAACCGGAAACGGAAGGTGCTGATTTTTTGTTGTGCCGCCAAGTGCTGCAGCATGAGAAAGGCCAGTGCCAAAGCCGCTCGGCCTTCAAACCTGCCTGTGCCCACGCCAAACGTTTCGTCAAACGGTTCACGCAGATGGGGAAGGCTTCGAATATGTCTTCACACAGCAACAAAACGGGCACCCTCAGACCCCCTTCTAGCATGTTGACTTTTGGGCTGATGGTAAAAGTGACATTGACCTCGTCCCAATCCAAACCAAAGGGGTGAACATGGGTGTTTTGGTGGATGCCAACTAGACCTATTGCAGGAGTCTAGCAACGGTCATGTCACTATAGGCAAAGAGACCTTATGTGCACCAACCACTTTTGAATGTGTTTCCTATCAGGATTCACAGCCAGATCGAAGCCAGGTAGAAGACGGGTTTTCATTTTCTATGGGCGTCCATTTGGAGTCAAAGAGAAACGGGTTGCGCTGAACAATTGGGACCGCCTCTTTGGTTGGAACATCCGTTTTTGGGCCATGATAGGAAAATCTGTTCCGCTAGGGCGTGATGTGCGGTGCCATTGTGTCACCCATTTGGCCAACATGTTCAGGTGGGAAGGCAGCCTGCAGCTGCTTCGCCGGCTCGAAGCAAGGGCTCTGCCGCCCACCCGCGCCGGGGGTCCCGGGGGTTGTCCCGGGGTCGGCGGAACTAGTTCCAGGTATACGGTTTATATTTATACATATGTATACATACATATATATATATAAGTGTTTTGGACTTTTGGAGGTATGGATTCTTACGAGGGTCTCGCGTTTTTTGAGGGTACCTCCTTTTTTTGTGGCTTTAATTTAAAATGAACTCCAACAGGAGAACTCAACAAGAGGCACACACATATACCAACAAAACAAGCTTGTAACCTCCATACCTCCAAAACCCATACTGTACCTGAAAATGCCCTTGATTGCTGGTTCCCAGCAACTGGGTCAACGTTCGGGACCACTTTGCACTTTTGCTCTTGACTACAATGATGAACCAATAAGTTCAGTTTAATCCTCAGTGGCAGTTTCAATAGAAATTACCAGTAAATTGCAACTTCTGCACGGAGAACCCAGTGACCCCTCAAGCATCACTTTCGTGCGACATCAATGTTTCATTGTGCTGCCACTTCGGTTTGCAAGAGGCCTGGGCGAATAAACCATATAGTATGAGATGTCCTCGTTTCGCCATCCACAAGAGATGAGACACGGGTCATTATCATGTCAGCCCGCTGTTTAAGCCAAGTTTTCCTGCCTCGTCCAAACTGTTTTGCTGCGAAAGCAGCTTCGCGCCGCAATATGGCAGTCATCAACCCAAGTGTTCCTGCATATTGGAAATACATGATAACCCAGTCTTCGTGTTCAACATGTTTCGACAGGGTAAGCCTTCTATTTCTATGCCCAGCAGGCAATGAGAGACAGGTGCCACTTGTTGAGCTGGGAAACTTTTCGGTAGAAATGAGCCACGGAGATGGGATTCGCCGTCCAGATGCGTCGCTGCGAATGAACAAAACGAACTCAGACAAGAGGTCGACTCCCCAGCTGAGCTGCGTGCCTCCGTGCGCCTTTGATTTCCTTTGTAGATGTCAAAGTTGAGTTTTCTTATGGATCCCTCAATTCCAGTTGGAGAATTGTCTTATATTGTCTTAGTGCAGATCTTCGTGGGTAAATTTGACTCAACCCAAGTTGGCGCACCAATCCTATTTACGAGTCCTTTCTTTCCACACGGTGCACGGTGCAGCACCGGGGCACCTTCCAACGAGCCCGCCGGGCCCCACCAAAACGCGCCACGCCCTGCGGGCGCCGTTGGCACCCAGGTCTCCTTCAACGCAGCCATCGCGGCGCTCGGCGGCGCCTGGTGGCGGTCCTGGGACTTGCTGCGCGAGCTGAGGGACCACGGCCTGGAGGGCGATGTGGCCAGCTACATGGCGAGCGAACGGACTTAACAGGAACTCACTCAACAGGAGTTCCGGTGCGGACTAAATCTCGCGTTTGGAGGTTGGGTGGCCATTGAGTGGTAACGGAAAAAGTTGGGACTTTGTTTTGACTCTCAAGAAGTGAGTTGTTGGAGTAGAGGGGTGCTGCGGATCCCCTCAAAATTGGGTTGCATCGCCCCTATTGATAAAGCCTGGGTTGACGTTGTTTGTCATAACCAACCACTCCCAGGAGCGTCCGATTTGTTGCCGTAGTTGCCCTTATTTTGGCCTTAAGGTATTTGCTTGGACCCTTGCAGCAATCTATTTTGACTTGTTGGTATGCCATATTTTATGGGTTGACTATGTACACACACAAACACTGCAGTTGGCCCAGTTGGCCTCAAGGCTTAAGAAGCCAAGCTTTGCGAAGAGGGGGGGTTTCTTTCTGGGGTGCAACAGGGTAGGATGCTTGAATTTGCCAAAGGACCTACCCTTTTGCTTGGGGCAGCTCGTTTTGAATCCGTTGCCTTTCAACCCTTTGACATGTAGCCTTCATGTGTGTCACGTGTTGCCTTCAAGCTTCATGAACCTTCAGCTTGCCGCATCCAACTTAAAGGCCTTCAACCTTTCCCAAAAATCCCAGCAGGTTGAGAATGTGAGGGCCCAGCCCAAACAAACAACACAACATGTGTGTGTGGGTCTTCTTGCCACCCCCCAAAAATATATAAGTTCTTCTAGGGACGCTAGTCTGTCGTGTTGGGGTGGCGTTTCCCTTCCCAACTCGCAGGCTACGGCGCCCTGGCCGCCGAGTGTGGCGGGGTAATCGGCGGCTGGCGGCGCGCCAAGCGCCTGGGCGGGGGGGAAGGGGGGGGAAGGATGCGGAGGCTATACTCACGTCCCAGGTTCCTGGACCTGATGTTTTGTGGGGGGAAGACACTTTCAGGAGCAAATGAAAAGTTTGGTTTTTTTTTTGTGCCAATCCACTCGGGAAGTGAGTATAACAGTGGGTTTCTCCCACTATTTATAGAGCTTCATCCATCTCAAGTGATGCAGGATTGGTCGTCAAGGGATCCCAGGCCCCCCCAATCCCAGGGGCTAGTATCGATAGGGCCAAGG